GGGACGAGGGAGGCGTGCCCGGGAGGCGCCGCACCGGGACCTGCAGGGGGAGGGAGAGGGGCCGGGAGGTGACCTGGAGGAGGGCTCTGAAGTGCAGTTAGGTCGACTCGGGAGGTTCATTTCAGAGATGCCTGCAGCCGCTGCCAGGGGGAGTTAGGAGCGGTTACCGAGATCTGGGGGCTGGGAATTTGCCATTCCGCTGTGCACAGATTTTTTTTGTTTTTTGATTTTTTTTTAAAGCAAGGTTTGTTTTCATTTTGATTTCTGTCGGCTAGTCTCCTCATTTCCAACTCACTTTTCTATTTTGACTTTCCCTGACCTGAAGAGCTGTTCATTTTCTCACCTCTTCACCTTGCTTTAGAATCAGAGTTTCCTCTTATGTAATTTATGCGATGGGGGTACTTAATCAGACTGGGGTTAGTTGGCAGGGGCGTGGGGGTTGGAGGGGGCAGTTTTTTTGTAAATGAAAGTTTCCTGACTCAACCGATCGCAATCTATTTGTATTACTGGAAAATCAGGGAGATTGCAATCGAACAGTCCTCTTGAGCCACTCGGTCTGTTCCTTCCCACATCTGATGCAAATGGTAATTTTGTTAAACCGAAAAGTAGTACCCGACCTACAGTGTCAGTATTTGGGAACTCCTATACGCAAGTCAGCTGTGAAGGCCTGCGCCTTCTTCACTCGGTTGCATGATTGGCTGGGCCCCCGCACCACAAAACAACTGCTCGGACAGTGTCTTGGGCCCCACGCAGTGACTTTCGTTGTACAGCTGTGGGAGTAATGTGGTTGGGACTTCATATCCAGAGCTCCATATTCTGGGCCGGGCGGACACCTACAAATGAATGTCCCAGGAAAATAAGGAGATGATTTCTGTGGAAGTACCTGCCTCTTCGGCTTCTGAAGCTACCATCTAAACCTGGAACCTGTTTCTCCGGCTGCCTGGGCCTCAGTTTCCATCATACACCCTAATGGCAGAGTGTACCCTCGGGCCCTTGCTGAACTGTAAATGCTGTAATGTGTTGTGAAGATGAAAACTGCTTAGGGCTATACTAGACTTCCTCTTAACAAACCAAGTATGCGCTAAGTTCTTGGAGTTGACTATGTGATTAAGTGGTGTGTATTCTCCACTGGTATATATTGCTTTGCAATTCAGCTTCTACTTAAGCAAAATAATCATTTATTCTTTGGGTGATGTTGTCAAGCTGTTTTACAGGGTTCTTTTGGGTTAGAATTCTTAAATTATCTAGTCTCTCCTTCCTGTTTAAACTTGCTAACATCTGCAGTTAAGGTGAAATATGTTTGGGCATAGTTCGCTTTATTTTGGGACTACAAGTATCAACTTTATTCTTTTGTGTAATTGCTCTCCTTTCCAAACTCTCAAATGATGTTGGGTGTGGTTGAGCTGGGTACTGGGAGTTGATGGTATCTTTCATCCTGAGGTTCAAGATTCTGACCCCTATCACCTTAAAAGAAGATATTGACTCCACCAGAACTATCTGGAAATGAATGCGAAAGTTAATTAATTAGGAAGTTCAACTTGCATCACTTCTGCTTTTGCTCAGTGATGGTAAAAAGTGCTACTGAGGAACAAAAACTGAAATTTGCAGAGGGCTTACCAGAAGATGGAGAGTTTGCAAGTGGTACAAAGCTGATATTCTTTTGACGTAGGCAAAAGGACGAGCCTTCTTTGGTCACTGCCCCCTACAGCCATTCCTGCCACCTTAGTGCAGAACCATGAAGATCCCAGTTTTCCTTGGAAGCCTGGTGGTGCTAGAGAGCATCCTTAATTTAACCCCGTGGCTGCCGTGGTTCCTGGCACTGAGTTTTACTGGAGAAACTGATGGTCGTTTCAAAGAAAGAACTAGAGACAGAAGTGGGTCCTGTGACACCAGGACAATGTTTCTCTAGATTATCCTCTGAGGTATTAGAGCAGGGGGAGAAATACTCAAGAAAGGGAAATATTTGTGCGAAGTGATTAATATTCAGATGTTCTCTAGGTCAGTCTCGACTCCTTCTGGGAGGACTGGCAAAATTATTTTTTTATTGTTTATCTCTGTGTATGGTGTCCAAGTGTTAAAAGTGTTCCCATATCCCCCCACGCCCACCCCACCCCCCAACCATCCCTATTAAAACTATGAGGACCACGATCAATGCAATTCCATATCATAACCCCAGGGGCTGCGTGAGACTAAGCCAGATGAGTTGCATAACCATTAAGGGAGACATTTTAGCATTCAGGTACATTACATCCCACTTTTATTGAGCAGACATGGTTTTCATGGTCTAATAAAATATTTTTATTTGAAAGTCTGTCCTGGGTTATAGCCTCATGTAAGCTTGCTTAAGACTTTGTATCCAGAACTTTAAAGTCCAGTTGTGGTTCACTTATTAATAATTCACCAGAGAGATTAAATTTCTAGTAATTTGCTGCATCTCCCAGGCCATGCTTCCAACGTAGACTCTGTTTCTACGTTATCCTGGGCCTCAGTTTTCACAAAACAAACCCCCAGGGAATTGTGTGTGTTTAACAGAGATCTTTAACTATAACAGCAATTCTGAGCAGAGGCTTCATCTAGGAACTAAATTATATGCTTAATTTGTATCAAGCTATAAAAAGCTAATCTGTTAGTTTACAGGGCTCTTTTCTACAGCCCTGCAGGAAAATTGAAGTTGTTCGGGCTTTGGTAGATGGCCCATAGGCAATCAATTGGCTTCTAAAAGAACCATAATGACATTTGATTTTTAGGCTTATATTCCTTAAATCCGCCCCCCCCCCAAGCTTATGCAGTATGATTTAATGTAGTTTTTATTGCAAGATGATAAAATTTTATGTCAAACAGTGACCAAATGCATGTGTGTTTTTTTTTTAATAAAGAACATTTACTATAGTTATGTAGCCTTAGGCTAATTACCTGATCTTTCTGTGCTTCGGTTTCCTAAGATATAGGATTAGAATATTAATATCCACCTTAAAAGATTAAATGAATTAATACACGTAAAGCATGAAGAGCTACGACTGACACATGGAAAGTTCTCAATAAATGTCAGCTATTAATAATAGAAATATTAATTAAAATACAAGTTAAATAAGCATCTTAACCCTTGTTACCCTGACATACAAGGTAGACTTTTTTAAATCATGTTTTTGTTCTTCAGCTACACAAAGAGATTATGGTTAATATCTTTCATTCGTGGAGGTAAACCACTGACTTTTGGTCCAATGAGTGACCTTTTCAGAATGCAGTCTAACCAGTTAATAGATACCGTATCAGCAGTACTCATAATTTTGAACTGGAAAGTCAAAAGTTGTTTTTAAGACTAAAAGTATAAACTATTGCAGGTGTTTATTTCTTTTTGTTTGTTTTTTTAATCTGTACTCCTATTTTAAATAATTGCTTAGTCAAAACCTCAAAACGTTAGTCATTGATTTCCAAGCGTATAAAGGAAGCCACTGGAACAAGATATAAAATTCACCTTTGACATTGTCCAAAGTTCAGAAGGGTGGTTGGTTTAAAACGCTCCTTAATGACGGTACAGTAATTATTTGCTTACGAACTGCTGAAGGAATCCTATGTAAGTATTTAACTGAGTCTCTTGTCTACTTTTGCTTGGATCTTCTGTGAATATTTCTATTTAAAAAAGAACCAAAAGGTGGTGACGGGGACCTATCCAATTCCTCTGCCTCTATATTCTTCACTGTCAGAATAAAAATTTTGACTTTCAACCTAAAAGTTGTATTTCTCATTTAAAATAAATTAACCTTTACTTTTATTCAGCCACACTTAGCATTTGGAATGTTTTATATATATAGTTCCTCTTCTTTTTATCTTTTTATTCATTGGTTATTCATATTTAAAAATTATTTCATAACTTTTTGCAGATTTTAGGTGATGGGCAGATCAGAAAGTCAGATGGATATAACTGATATCAACACCCCAAAGCCAAAGAAGAAACAGCGATGGACCTCCTTGGAGATCTATCTCTCCGTCCTCGTCCTGCTCCTCACCATCATCGCTGTGACCATGATAGCCCTCTATGCAACCTATGACGGTGAGCTGCGCCCACACCTGTACACACAAATGCAGAGGAGAGTGGACTCTTCATCTCACACGTTTCCCATCTACCAGGGTGTTAAGGAGAGACAATTAAACGAAAGATAATGCTATAAAGATTCCGTTACAAAATGCAGTATCAATATGTCAAAACAATTAACTGACTAAAGTACAGTGTCTTTTATGTTTGAGCTAAATTATTAATTGCCAAGTATATTTAATGCACTCATGCTTACTTTATGAGGGTTCTAATGTATAATTTTATTTGATTAAAATATACACAATTTTGTGGTCAGCTTCAATTAGTCAGTATTGTGTCATTGAAATTCTAAAGGGCTTCACAGGAATTTAAGAGGTCTCATTTGAGTCTTAGAAGTGTTTTACAATAAGGATTAGAAAAGATTGGTTTCTTAATGGCAAAAACAAAACAAAAACCCCACCATGATTACCGGACTAAAACAACTGATTATTTCAATTTAAAACACCCAGAGCTTAGTGGGTAGAGATGATGTAATACATACATTTTTATTCATAATGAAAATTTCAAATTTAGGATTTTCCCACTTTATTCCTCTATGTCTTTCTAACTACTAATAATGACATGTAATACTCAGGTTTAGTTCTTGCTTTACAGAATTGACCATTTAATTGGCAGTTTTTAGAAGAACAAAAGATAGGGAGAAATTAGAAAATGTAATTATAAATATTTATGTATATACCATACTTTTTCTAGATGGTATTTGCAAGACATCAGACTGCATAAAATCAGGTAAGAAGATGGCTTTTAAATTTAATAGTTTTATAATTAATGTATCACATTTAAAAATCAAATGCTAATAGCTATATCTCTACATTTGCTTTATGATTTTATTCATTTATTTATTGATCAATTATTTATAGTAAAAAATGTGTTTAAATAGTAGATTAATTAACTTGTTTATTCTAAAAAGACCTCACTCTTTTCAGCCCTGGAGTGTATGGTAGAGTGGTAGAAAACTAACTATAGTGCTAGCTTTATGGAGCTTGCCATGTAGTTGCAGGAAGAAAATCAGCATGTATAAAATGGGCAGCATGCAAGTCATGTGAGGGGCAAGAGCGAAGAAGGGGGTGACATGAGTCATTTAAGCTACGTGGAGAAGTTAACATTTAGGAGGGGCCTTGAAGCAGGGTGAGGATTTGGAAGTGGAGATACAGAAGAGGGAGTTCCCAATAAGGAGAAAGAACAGCAGGAGTAAATCATATTGTTGAGAAGCAGGGAAAATGTAGACACGAGAGATAGGGGCACGTTCCTGAGAGCTTGGAAAATCTATGTTTAGCCTTGATGTTGTGATAACAGAGAAATGGTTATTTTTCTGAACAGGTCACTCGGTAAGGCAAATGGTGAAAGGTGATTCTGGGAATGCTAGGCTGGCGGATTAAGTGAGAAGTAATAATCCAGGAAGGGTGGGCTGCAGGGGCTGCTGCTGTAATTCAGGTGTGATTGGGGAGGTCGGCCTGTGGTGGATGAGACAGTTATGGGACAGCGTGAAGAGAGAATTGGCTGGCTTGATAGAGCTGACTTGCTAAATGAAGGATATGAATAATTTGGAAATGATGCCAAGTTTTAAAACCTAAGGGACTCAGGAAAATGGTGTCAGTTCACACAGAAGTAGAGAAGTTAGGAGGTAAGTTTGTTTTAGGGAGAGATGTGATGAATACGGATTTGGACAAGTTGAGTCTAAGCTGGGGTAACATCCAAGATGGAGAGACAGCAGGAAGGTAGAGATGGAAGTTTAGAGAGTCTTTCATGGGATGGATTAGGATGTGTCAGCCCAGGGGCAATAACCAAGCCTTAGGAGTATTTGAGTTCCCAAAAGGAGAAGAGAAGAGGTGTAATGGCTGAACTTAAGAGGACATTGAACATCAAATTAGAGTAGAAGGTCCTGGATGGTGTTGCTCAGTGGTTAGAGTGTCAGCCTAGGCACCAGCGGGTCTTGAGTTTGGTGCATGTGGGAAGCAACCAATGGATGTGTCTCTCTTATATCGGTGTTTCTCTCTCTGATCTCTCTCTCTCTCTCTCCTCCCCCCCCACCCCTCTTTTCTCTCTCCCTTTCACTTTCCCTAAAAATCAGTGGAAATAAGGTCCAACTAGGGTGGCTCAGTGGGTGAGCATCGACCCATGAACCAAGAGGTCGATTCTCAGTTAGGGCACATGCCCTGGTTGTGGGCTCAGCCCCCCACCGTGCAGGACGCAGCTGATTGATGTTTCTCTCTCATCAATGTTTCTATCTATTCCTCTCCCTTCCTCTCTTTAAAAAAATCAACAATGACATATTTTTTTAAAAATCAGTGGGAAAAATATCCTCTCTCCTCTGGTGAGAATTAAAAAAAAAAAAAACTAAAGTAGAAGGAAAAGAAAAGTCGGAGAAGTTTGAGGAGCTGCAGAAGTCCCGTGCATTATGGTGTGGTAAAAAAAAGAGGAGCATCTTGACCAGGAGAAGAAAGGGGTAGCTGGACATAGCACCCTGGATATAAATAACATATTATTGTCCTTTGACAAGAGATTCTAAACTTCTTTCCCAGGAATAATGTGTTCCAAGTGATTTTTAACCATTGGTTGGTGGATATTCTTACCTGGGTTTCTGTTATTCACTGACCTTTGCAAAATAATAATGGAAAAATATCTTGGGATTAAAGGTGACAGCCTAATATCCAGAGTATGTGCTCCTTTGCATTTCTGTATTGCTTTTTGATTATTTATTTATTTAGCTCTGGGTGTTAGTGCACTAGCTGTGCACACACCTGAGACGTGATGTGGGCAGCTTGAGGGAGACCTGACTGGGAGAGCAGTCATTTGCTGTCCATGGGCTTTCCTAGAAATAAAACAAGTTCCTTTTTCCCCAGGGAAATGGTGGTACAGGTGCTTTGGCTGGGAGATATCCAGGGTCCCTGTGCCAGAGCTGGTATGTGCCCAAGTTGTCAAAGTTACCATTTGTTCTCTCCCCAAATCCTCCCCCTGCTTTCCCTCTACCAGCTGCCCTGTTATATGCTCACACCATCCGGTTTTGAGAAACTTGCACTTAGGCATTGACCTCTAATTAGCTCCAAGTTTCTCAGTCTTTAATACACCTGGCATGTCTCTTAAGTCTCTTTCACACATTCTCTTCTCCCTCACACTCTTCTCTCTCTCTCTCTCTTTTTTTCTTGCATTTGGTTTTTGAAGAAACTGCATCCTTTGACTAGTAGGTAGACAGAGATCCCAGCAGCTTCCTCCCGGTATACCTACCCCAATGAACAATGTGATATTGAAAATCTGGAATCTTAGGTGTGACTTAATGTTTAGGGGTATGGCTTTGGCTTGTTAAATACTGTTTGGCAAGTTTCAACTCATTAAAATGTGTTTAACCTGTATCATGTCATTGTAGCTTAGAAATCATACTAAATGGAAAACGCTTTGTCGAACTGCATCTTGGCAGAGAAATGTACACAAAAGAAATAGCTTCAGTGGTAAACAACGTTGTTTTGTATGTTTTTTCATTCTGCTCTTTTGGTTCACAATCTGTTAGAATACTTTCATATTCATAGTTATTATTCTTCCTGGGTGAAAAAAATGAAGTTCAAATTCACCCTTATGGGTAACATTTTCACACTCATGCACACACACACAGTCCTTTGCTGGTTAAGAAGTCTTTTCTGCCATTGACTATACAACCGTTGCATTTTGAAGTTGCTGCAAATTAAGAACAGTTGGGGAACTCTTGAACAGAATGAAAGTAATCAAGAAAGGGAGAGAATGAGAAGAGTGGAGAAGGATGGAAAAGAAAAGGAAGATGGAAAAAATGTAGAAAACATATAAAGTCCTCTACTAGCAATCCTATCAGTTATTTTAAAGGGCAGGGAAAATTCAAACCAAAGCACAGAAATTCTTGAGAATTGAAAAATTAAGTATTGAAAACGTAATCCAAGATGCTTACATATAGGTGAATGTTGATTCTAAGTTAAAATCTTCCTCCCAGTGGAAGGGATACCATGTACGTGTCCTTCTCTCTTTGTTCCTGTGAGGTCGAGGGGCCATAGTAAGGCAAAAATAAAATGTTGCAGAAAGCTGTGAGTCACCTTGAAATCTGTTTGGTGTTAGGTACTTCAATCTGAGCATCTAAGAGTTTAAATATTCATAATATCCATAAAAATGATGTTTATAATAAACACTTGAAATGAACTTGTCTGTATATGAAATGCAGCAGTGTGAAAGATTACGCCAGACCTAAAATAAAACAAACTACTCAACAAATAACAAGTTAGGGCAGTGCTTAAAACCCTACTATTAAAGTATGAGTCATGTTATTCATCTCTTATTTACCATATAAGATTGTCAAAAGCATGGAGTTATAGAGCTTGTATGTGATTCCTCAAACGTCTCTGTATAAATCTAAGTCCTGCAATGCTCCCATTGTGTGGCAATCTTACCAAACGCAGGAGATTCCAGGAATCACATGCTTTCAGTCACGGGTTCTCAGCTTCATCACTGTTGACCTTTTAGGCTGGATAAGTCTTCATTGGGAGGAGGCCGCTGTCCTGCTAAACACTGTATGATGTTTAACAGTTTCCCTGGATTCTACCCACTGGATGCCCAGTAACAACCCCCCTGCCCCAGTTATGACTACCAAAAATGTCTCCAGACACTGCCAAATACTGGTATCTCCTGAGCAGCATAATCACCTCGGGTTGGACACTGCTGGCTTAAGTGAAATCAAGAGTTCAGCTGCCGGGAGCCTGTCTATCCTTGCTGTTTCAAGGGACCTGGCATATATGGCATACTGTTCTTAATATGTTTGCTCACCTTCTTGGCGCTGTGTTTTAACCAAGGTCAGCTCTCTGAGAAAGGTTGTTTCCCCAGGTAGGGATTTTCTCCTGAAGTTAGGGAGGGAATAAAACCTCTTAACTAAGTGCCAGGCGGG